TCCTGCACTACAACACTCTCTCATCATATCATTCACAATTACACCTGATAAACTACAACCACTCATCTTAAGAGTACTCAGTGTAGAAGCAATAGCCAATAAAGATGCTAATAATGAACCATCAATGTTGCAGAGATTATTATCACTGATATAAAGCTCCATTAATTCAAACTTGACTCCTGCTCTACAACACTCTCTCATCATATCATTCACAATTACACCTGATAAACTACAACCACTCATGTTAAGAGTACTCAGTGTAGGAGCAATAGCCAATAAAGATGCTAATAATGAACCATCAATGTTACTGAGATTATTACCACTGATATCAAGCTCCATTAATTCTAACTTGACTCCTGCTATACAACGCTCTCTCATCATATCATTCACAATTACACCAGATAAACTACAACCACTCATGTTAAGAGAACTCAGTGTAGGAGCAATAGCCAATAAAGATGCTAATAATGAACCATCAATGTTACTGAGATTATTATCACTGATATTGAACTCAATTAATTCTAACTTGACTCCTGCACTACAACACTCTCTCATCATATCATTCACAATTACACCTGACAAACTGCAACCACTCATCTTAAGAGTACTCAGTGTAGAAGCAATAGCCAATAAAGATGCTAATAATGAACCATCAATGTCACTGAGATTATTATCACTGATATTGAGCTCCATTAATTCTAACTTGACTCCTGCACTACAACACTCTCTCATCATATCATTCACAATTACACCTGATAAACTGCAATTTGTTAATGTAAGGTCACCCAGTTTAATAGTAATAAGTAAACACGCTAATGAGAAACCACTAATATCGAGGATATTACCACTGATCTTAAGGCTAAATAAATTATTACCATTGAAAGCATACAATTTTCTAAAAATACATGATGAACTACCATTCCTTATTGATAAATAGAAATGTTTAGAAATAATTCCCAAAAATGATACAAACAGAGAACCATCAATGTTACTGAGATTATTATCACTGATATCAAGCTCCATTAATTCTAACTTGACTCCTGCACTACAACACTCTCTCATCATATCATTCACAATTACACCAGATAAACTACAACCACTCATCTTAAGAGTACTCAGTGTAGAAGCAATAGCCAATAAAGATGCTAATAATGAACCATCAATGTTACTGAGATTATTATCACTGATATCAAGCTTCATTAATTCTAACTTGACTCCTGCACTACAACACTCTCTCATCATATCATTCACAATTACACCTGACAAACTGCAACCACTCATGTTAAGAGTACTCAGTGTAGAAACAATAGCCAATAAAGATGCTAATAATGTACAGCTAATGTCACTAAGTTTATTATCACGGATATCAAGCTTCATTAATTTTAACTTGACTCCTGCTCTACAACACTCTCTCATCATATCATTCACAATTACACCTGACAAACTGCAACCACTCATCTTAAGAGTACTCAGTGTAGAAGCAATAGCCAATAAAGATGCTAATAATGAACCATCAATGTCACTGAGATTATTATCACTGATATTGAGTTTCATTAATTTTAACTTGACTCCTGCTCTACAACACTCTCTCATCATATCATTCACAATTACACCTGATAAACTGCAACCACTCATGTTAAGAATACTCAGTGTAGGAGCAATAACCAATAAAGATGTTAAAAATGAACCATCAATGTTGCTGAGATTATTACCACTGATATCAAGCTTCATTAATTTTAACTTGACTCCTGCTCTACAACACTCTCTCATCATATCATTCACAATTACACCTGATAAACTGCAACCACTCATCTTAAGAGTACTCAGAGTAGAAGCAATAGCCAATAAAGATGCTAATAATGAACCATCAATGTCACTGAGATTATTATTACTGATATAAAGCTCCATTAATTCTAACTTGACTCCTGCTCTACAACACTCTTTCATCACATCATTCATAATAGCACCTGTAATACAATTTGAGAAGCACACCAATAAGTAAAGCTGTGGTGCAAAACTAAACAGATGAATTATAAAAGAAGCAGTACATAAGCGACACAATTGAAATTCTGTAATATCATATTTGAAATTCAGTTTTTGACATTCTTCTGTTAGGTATTTAATATCATCACCACATATTTTACTTGCTAAATGCAAAATAGCACTTTGATCTGATACAGCAATCATGATGTGGGCAATCATTTTGCATTTTTCTTCAGGTGACATTTCCTTACCAGAAAATTCAAACCAAGACATAAACATATCTCTACCAAATTTTGCAGAAAACTTTGAACGTGTACTGAAAATTTGCATAATTTGAAGAAAATTTTCAATTTCATTGACCTCTACATCAGACATGAAGTGATGGATAATTTTTCTTAGTGATTCACATATGTCATTTATGTGTGGCATTATTTCTAAATTTTTCTTAGTCATTTCATCAAATAGTTCCTTTACTACAGTACTCCTGTTCTCTATTTTCACAAATTTAAAATGTAGCATTAAAGAGCGATATGTTGATAGATTGTTTGTTATCCAGTGATTAAAAAACATGCCAGCACCAGTACCTAGAAATCCAATTGCAAACACTCTTGCATTGTGCAAGTGTGTATTTTCTCTTATAATCTTCCATTCATTATCATCCACCGGCTGAAGTAACATATTCATGCCCACTGAGCACTCACTCTCCAATCCTGCTGCCTGACATAGTTTGCATAAGTAAAATCCTACCAATGACTCTACTATTAATTTGTGAGGAGCTGTATAAATCTCTTCAAAATCTGACTTTAGGTTTGGTGTATCTTTGTACACAAATCCCAGTTTTAAAGCTAAGGCAACCATTTCTTCTCTTCCTTCTAAATCTGCTTTGTTTATTGAAAGTTGATTTCGTTTTAAGCCATTATACATACACTTCCCTAACAGCAGTATCAGTTTAACATACTTTTGTGGAATATTTGTGAATACTGAGATTTTTTGCTCCTTATCTGCTTGTTTTTCAATGAACTGATTCAAGATGGTTTTAAAAATCTCTTTAAAGAGATCAGCTTTATCAGCTGGAAGGTGTTGCCTTTCTTCCCACATAATACATACTGATAGAAGCAACATTGGATTTTTACACATTGATATGACGTCATCATGTTTATACATATATTTATATTTTGAATTCAGCCCCAACTCATCTAAAAGAGAGTCTCCTAATGCAGGTTCTTTAAAATACTCAAAATGTTTCTTAATGTAATTTCTTATATTAACTGCACTGAATCCCTTCACTTTCACATGTATGCTGCTCTCTTTAACAAACTCATCTATTTTTTCAGGTCTTGATGTAAGTATTACTTTGCATTTAGGCATTTTTTCTTTTTTGAATAAGCATATTGGACTCTTACTACCCTCTTTCAATTCATCTAATCCATCTAATAACAATACAATGTCATTATCGTGATTCCTAATAAATCGTTTAACTAATACAGGATCTTGAGAAAGAGTTGTTTCAAGATAAAAATCCTCTATGTCTATTTGTTTTAAAATACCATCCAAAAAGGTTTCACTTTTGTCAATAGTGGATATGTTGACAAGAAAGACTATTTTACCTTTGAAAGTTTTGTCTGATTCTGTGGCCCAATTGTATGCTATGTACCGGAGGAGGGTTGATTTGCCAATACCACCCTCACCTTCTATTAGAACTTTACATGCAGGTGTGGATTTTATAATATTTAAAACCTCGTTCAAAGTTGTAGGCTTGACATCTTGCTTCTTTTCATTTTCTTTGAGTAGATCCAGATCAGTGAACATGTGGGCAATGTCTACATTGTATCTAGTATTCAAAGTTGCTGGTGTGAACCGGATGGCATTGCGGCACAATTGCTGTTGAGTCCTTAGTAGATAGTTTTTAATAACCTCGTCTGAAAAAAAAAATCAATTATTTTTCATAAAGCTGTCTTCAAATGGAGAACACTGTATGGCAGGATAAAGAGTATACAAGCCTCGCATAAGGCCCTGAATATTAATATTACACCTATTTTAATTAATTAGCAATAATACTAACATTGAATGCTTTCAATACCAACAGACATATCTTAGAGTGCTTTCAAAATTACATAAAAATAAATATATAGCAAGTATTTATTGTATACATAGTTACGAAATTGTTACAACTAATAATATTAGTACTGTATTTATATTCAATTAATCAAAATTAGCATTATGTAAAGCTACAGTAATCATATGTACAACATGTATGTGGTCTTTGAGCTGGCAATGGAAGATTCCACCCTATATTACTATGTTTGACATTATAAATTTACAAGAGCAAACTAAGTCATTAAAAAAAAATCAGTTAATCCCCTGGGGATTGGGTCTGGCACCCTGAATATGTTAAAATCTCACATAGCTATAGTTGATAAGATTTTCAAAATAAATTAATATGAAGGCACATTAAAAATAACTGGGGTCTAATGTCCCTGACAGGAGCATTAGTAACAATAGAGGGGGAGAGGGGGTCCAGGAGGGCAAAAGCCTTTGGAAACTCTAAAAAATTAGGTAATTGAAATGCTTATTTAATCGAATTTAGTGTCTCATAATCTGTAAAAATTACTCCAAACCCCACCACTGAATATATTAGGTCCAGAGAGGTATTTGTGATCTCATATTATGGTTATTGAAGTATCTTGTGCAAGCCATTTCAGTCCTTGACTAAATAATATAATGTACGATGTTAAATGTACACACTATAAATATTTCATCGTGTCCCTGTTCTCTTCAGTATACAACAACACTGCCTACTATACTAGAGTGAGTACATTTAACATTGTAAATTATATTATTCAATAAAGGGCCAAAATGGCTTACACAAGATACTTCAAAAACCATAATATGTCCTAACAGCAGTGTATTATGATATCTCTATTTTTATTATGCAATTATAATCAAGTTCTGAGGGCCCTATAGAAAATAGGGGCAGAAAGGGCCATTATTTCCTTAAAAAAATTGTCTAAAGCTTGCAGGGCAGAAGGCAATTGTTGATGGAAATAATGGCCCCTATTTTATATATATTGAATATAATTGCTTCATAAGTCAGTCACCCTGTTTCATATACAATACAATATATTAAGGCTATATATATTCAAACTGATGGTTACGGTGACCGGTTGCTCAGTGAACTGCGCGATTGGGAATGCTTTCCTAGTAGTACACACACTGACACTCTTTACTGCTCTTTGTGATACGATACAAATAAAGTGATTGTGGTAATATTATTAAATGATTATTAGGTAGGCCTAAACTCCTGGTAGGCATTTGTTAAATATATTATAAGTCAATCACCTTGCTAAGGTAGGTGATTTAGGCTTTGTTCATGTCAACCAGCACCGTAAAACAAGATTTGTTAGATTCTCTGTGCGAGCTTCGCCTGGCAAGGAAATATTTATCGCAATGTAAATCAACTCCAGCTTTGGAGTTTCGAATTAAAAAAATAAAATATAAAAAAATTGAATTAGTGCCTAGTTGGGAATAGGAAAATTATGTGCAAATGAAAGTGATGACATCACAGCTGACTCATATTTTGTGCCTGTAAATATACCATATACAATTTGAGACCACACTTAAGCTCTACTGTATAAAAATATTCATGTAGATATCAATTCTTTGTTTTATTTTGTAATTTACTGTTTTGTCTATAAAAAAATAGGGTGAAATAAACCAGCTGTGGACATGAAAGATTTTTACAGGGTCTAGGGCATGATAAATCTGGGATAAACTGACATTTTCTGTGGCTTTAAGTGATTTTTTACACTTTTGTTTTGATTCCATTAATTTTTACGATTGTTATCTTATCGCCAAAAATAAAGGCAAAAGTACGAAGTTAGTTTTACATTAAATAAATCCACAGTAGCTGTGGAAGTGGAGGATTGTTGAACCCACAAATGTGAAAATGCCCACAAATGTAATAACAAACAGAAATGTAACAACACACCACCAACTAATGTAATAATGCCTACAAATGTAACAATCAGCGCCCACAAATGTAACAAAGAGCGCCTACAAATGTAATAACAATCATCGCCCACAAATGTGATAACACCCACAAATGTAAAATCAAAACACAACCTCTTCGCCCACAAATGTAATAATTTTTTGTGAGAGAAGTATGATATTTTCAGAGCCTAAACTTATGAAGTGTGTGAAAAGTGGGAGAACAATTTTTGTAAACGTCTGCAAGGGATTAAAAGTCGAAGGTTATAGGAGGGGTATATTATGTGTCAAATGTTATATCTTTTTCGAAAAATATATCTCATTGGAAGAAATAGAAACATACATACTTAATACTTTGAGAAAAAAAAACTTTCTACGACCAGCGGTTGTCAAAATATGGATGCCCTATATTTTCCCACCTCAATTGTATAATTAAGCTAATTTACATATTATAGGGCATGTGATTGATCAAGGTATCTGGAATTGATTTTCGTCAATTACTCAGAATGCTTTTAAACACATTTTGAATTTTTGAGTTTCTTCTAGATTATTTGAGTGCATGCCATGAACGAGGGAAATTCAATCATTTTGCTAATTCCATTTACCATTACATAGTATCATGATTTCCAGTATTTGTAATTTTTCCGGTATTTGTATTTTTTTTCTTGTATTATGTGCTATATAAGACTTTATTATTATTATTTAAGTCTAGTTTGTCATTTCATTCATAACTCTGGTTATTGAAAAAATATATATTGTGACTATTTTGAATTTTTTAGCTTTTTCTAGCTTATTCGAGTAAATGCCATAAACAAGGGAAATTTAATCATTTTGAACTACATTTACCATTACATAGTATATCATGTTTTCTAGTATTAGACCTTAAATAACCTGAACTTGAAATAACCTGAAAACTGTCATATCCGGTAAGCTTCTCCATCACATGTAAATAATAACCAATTTTTGCAGCAGGCATAATCAGCATAATGATTTACAGTATTATCAAAATCATGATTTGACCTCAAATGAACTCTAACCACTCCTAGACATTCAGAAAAAGGCTTTCCCATTATTCACATTCATACATTTAAAGTGTGAAAAAGTATTCTTCTCTCACAAAATGCAGATTTGGGATCTATTTGGGACCATTTTTGTGTCTCTTACATTCGACATTAAAAGAAAATTATTACATTTGTGGGTAAAGATGTCATGTTTTGTTGTTACATTTGTTGGCGTTATCACATTTGTGGGCGATCATTGTTATTACATTTGTGGGCGCTGTTTAATACATTTGTGGGCATTATTACGTTTCTGGGCAATGTGTTGTTACATTTGTGGTTGTTATTACATTTGAGCTGGTTTTTCACAAGGTCTGAGTCCAGAGGGTCTCACCCTTAAATATTTCTATACGGGGAAGTGCCACATGTACGGGGTATTTTTTCAAGGACTTGGTTGCACAAGTGTGGGAAATACGAAAGGAGTTGCAGCATTTATGGAGTATGCTTGTGAGGACTTTGTAGCATGAGTGTGGGAAACAACCAGGGTGAAACTGATTGTTGATTGTCCCTGGCCTATCCTCTGTCAAATTGATACGATTTTCCACACAAGGTTAGAGGGAATTTCAATCTAAACTGGGTGCTAAGCTGGTAAGGCCCTTGCTAAGCCTACCTTTGGCACAGCCACAAGATCGCGACCAGACTTTTTGCCATCGGGAATCGGTAAATACTGTGCCCTCTGGCACTACTGAATGGCCTTCTTCCTGTCTTTGTTTAGAGCACAGTGAATTTTTGGGAAATGGTAGTTCAAGTCCATAAGAATTTTCAGTAAAATAGGTAGCGCAATTGTCTCATGTCTCGAAGTGGCTGCAGCACCCCCCTGTTTGGTTTTATGCAAGTGAGCTCCCCCAGGGTCTGAGACATGATATCATAAAGGTAAATGGCTTTAAATCATTTTAAAATGTAAAACCTTCTAAGTGAATTGGGGTTTGATCCTAGCTCAATGTTTTCAACTCACTCTGAATGTACACCGAGTACTCTTTTCAGTTATCTTAAGCCACATTGCTGTTTTATTTCAAAATAAATAATGTTTCATATAAAGAACCTTGAGATAATCTGTTGGTTGTACAGTATAAGCTGGATATAAAGCATCATTAACAAAAACAACAGTTCACCCCTGCAAATATAAATAATTTGAGCATTTTTCATTTTGTACCTTGACTTGGTAGTTGTTGATGTGTGCTTGATTGCAATCTATTGCCATTACCTGCAAAATATATTCATCAATAAACAATTAAGGTAAATCTTGTATATCATATTACACTATATTATGCTCATGTTTCATTTTACTTTTAATGCTGTTAAAGCCCGGTTTCCATACAATCGCTACACAGTCGCTACAGCTTTTTCACTGCAATCTTTGCACTGCATAGCTATACCTATACAATCGGGAACGCTCTCAAATTCCGCTGACAAATCAGCGCCGCCAAAGGAGTCAGCGATAGCGTGTAGCGATTTGTATGGAAACCAGCTTCACAAATGTATGGCTATCATTGTACTGTACTTATGAAATAAAGACAATGCATGATATGAACAATAAAATATATCAATACATTTTAAACAATCATATATTATGTTTTGCTGTCATTGTACTTTGACTTGAACCAAACTATCATATTAAAAACTAATAACTATATGTTAGGAAATAAAGCAAGCGTAGATAAGCTTACGATTTGAAATACATATGCCTACAGTATACTGC